ATAGTAAAAATTGGTTTATAGACATGTGCTTTCACCAAAACCCTTTTTAAAAGGGAAAATGAAATGTGATTTTTTTTCAAATTTAAAATGTAAGCATATAAGCAATGGGGAACGGAGTGGTCTAGCGGAAGAGAGCTGGACTGCTAACTCGAAAGTCTCGAGTTAGAATCCGGGTTCAAGTCAGTAGACCGTCCCTGAGTCCACCCAACTCTGATGGGTACCTAACTCATGTTTGGAAAAGTAAAGGCGGCTGGGCATAGTGCTGACAATACTATCTCTTCATATTCCAAGGTCACAGAAACAGTGAACTCCACTTGCCCTACAGACCGTCAGGTTTGAAAAGGGAACTTTACTTTTTACTTTATATATAAGCAATAACTTGCTTTACTTCAATGGGTACAGAAATGTCTCAGATTCCAGATACATCTTCAATCTTACTCAGTCATCTAGCAGGGAAGAAAGGTTGAGAAGTTATCGGTCTCTGTTCATCATTTCCATAATGGTACCCTCATTGAAAAGCCTTCAAGTTTTCTTCCGCTTCTGTGATGTTGATTCCACGGACCTGTACCAATTGTCTGAAATGCTTAAGAGCTGTGAAGGTATCACCCTTGAACTCAGAACATTTGAAGTAATCTGCCTGTCAAAGTTGATGCAGCTGCAAAAACAGTACTGATTCCACAGGCATGGTAAAAACATGATTCAGCATCTGTACACAGGATAACCACTGAAATTTAGAATGGTACAGAAGTACCTTGAATTCTGACCCCATTTCTTTACACAGCCCACTAAATTTTCTGTGCTTCAGAGAATTGTTTCACACATAGTTCACACCATTTTTTAATGCTTCTCCTAGTTTTGGAGGTAAAGTTTTTGTTCCTTTTCAGTTTTCACTAGAGCAGGGGTCTCCAAACTAAATGCCTGGCGGCAGCGAAGTCCTCTCATCCGGCCCGCTGAGTTTTTTTTTCCATGGAAAAAAATGTTTGTTAGAAAATTCAAAACAAAATACCTTTCAAATTTTGGAACAACATACCTGTGTGAACAAACATTTTCAATAATGAAACACGTGAAGAACAATTTGAGACGAAACTTGGACATCGAGTGTGTTGTCTGGCCCCCCCGACAGTTTCTTTCAGAATTTTTTTTCCAGGGGGAGGGGGGTACTTGAAATTTTTATATATTTCTATATACATTATATTTTGTTGGGGGGGGGGGGGGGCATTCTTCAGGGGGAGGGGGGGGGGGGGGCTCTGCCATCCCAAAGAGATGCCTGGAAGAAACTGGCGCCTGAACTGATAAATATCAGTTAATGCGGCCCTTGGGCTGAAAAGTTTGGAGACCCCTGCACTAGAGGATCAAAACCAAACTTTCTTCCAAGTATGACTGGAGCTCTGTCCAAAAAAAAAACAACTGCAGAAAACATATCCTACAAAAGATTGATGTCTTTGAAAAAGTCATCCACAAGTTTCTTCATATCGGCTGCCTTAGTAGTCGTAAGAAACTTTCATAATAAAAAAAACTCATCTTGGTAACTTCAGTGGTCTTGTTGAATTGAAGGCTGAATTTCCAGGCTTGAAGTCAAATCTGTAACTATGTGAGCAAAAATCTCTTTGCTCATGCCCTCTATTCTTATGCTGATGGTGGCATTTGAAAGAGGAACTTGGGATAACTTAACCTCGGATGCTTTTATCCACTGGTTTTAAGAGTTATCAGGTAAGCAGCTTCCAACAGTGCTGTGAGGATTGGTTTGTTGATGGGTACAAATCTGAGAACAGACAGTAGACTCTTCCATCAAATCTCTCTCTTTTCACCTTGAATTTTAGCAAGTGTTGTGTTCTTGGATTTTTCTTCTCCATTTAGCTTAAAGAAGTCTTCTCTTAGTTTTGTAAGTGCTAGACTAGAATTGCTCATTTTTGCATTGCAAAGCATGCAGTTACACCCCCTGTCTAATACAGTGTTTTTTTCAGGCATTTCTTTGGGGGGGGGGGGGGGGGGGCTCAAAGTCTACCACCCACCCCACAAAATGGAAGTTATATAGATAGAAAATATATACTTTTTACAGTGGTGCCCCCCAAAATTATAGTTATATAGATAGAAAATATATACTTTTTACAGTGGTGCCCCCCCAAAAAATTTAGTCGTCGTCCCCCCCCCCCCCCCCCCCCCCCCAAAAAAAATTTCAAGTGCCCCCCGTGGAGAAAAAAGTCTGGAAGAAACACTGGTCTACCATCACATTCTGTTATACACATTCTTCCTACCGCTTTCTTTTTTTTTCTAGCCATAGTATGAAAAGATTAAAAATTAAGAAAGATATCACATAACAGTCATAAGTTGACTACTGGCCACAAAATAGAAATAAAATGTATGCTCAGTCTATCTTTGAAATCTGGTTCATTCTGCACATGTTCTTAACAGCACTTGTATACATGATCAACGGTGTCTTTATAGGTGGCGTTGTCTCGATTCTTTATGTATGTGTGTTGTGTTATTATGGGTTCCCTGATAAAGAAATATGACACCGATACATGTTATCTAGCTCAGGCATACTTTATTGCTATGTCTATTGTCATGCTGTTGCGCTCGCACTTCATATTTAAACTGTCATATCAGTTGAGTGTGTGTCTTGACCTCTACAGAAACCCCTGAGACTCACTCACTGATCACCTTGGGTTCAATTGAACTCAGGTTAAGAACTCTGCTCTACACTCACTATGTCCTCTCTTGACTAACCCCACTTTTAATTTTAGCCTGAATAAAATGGCTCCATTGTTAGGCATTTTATTAGTGATGTTCTCTCAAATCTAATGATCAGGTTGGGTGGTATATGGCTCACATCTATCCCTCCCCTAAGTCACTCCAGGTCTAATACTAGGTGATCAAAAATTTCATAAAAAACGTTTTAATAACAAGCTTTTATGTACTAATGCACTAAAAGTAGAAAATAAATTATAGACTACTATTTAAATAACTATAAAGAAAAGCGTAGGTCTCTTCCTAAATATTAGTAAAGGTATCCAATAGATACTAAAGTGACCCACGCTTTTCTTCATAAAATTAATTGGAGTTCACAGATAGTCCTAAAAATATTTTGTTTCATGGGATAGATCACAGTGACTGGGTGAGGCTGTGGTCCGTACTATTTGTCTGGCAATTGTTGATAGTATAGGGTGGGGTTAAAAGTTGGCTAGGTAACTTTGTCTTTTAAGGATTGCCGCTAATCTACAAACAACATTTTTATACCACCATTGTCCTTTGTATAATTATTGACAACAAGATTTTTGAGATAGATACAAGCTGTCGAGTGAGCTAAAATTGCTAGCTGGTTTAGCGGGGTTAACAGTTCATGGAAATGAAACACCCTGAAAAAATTGCAGCTTATTGTGCTTCAGAGCTATTTAATGACATTTTCCTAACTCATTTCCATAACATTTTGTAAGGGAAGGAAAAAAAAAACTTCCTTGCACTGTTTTTAGCGCAATTTCCATTCTGGAGAATTGCGTTTATTAACCCGTCATTTCTGGATGTATGAATGTATGGATGTGTGTTCGCAGCTTCAAGTCGTATCTCCTCCTCAACGAAGCAATATCGAGGACTAGTTCCAAAAGCAAATTTGTTAAGCAAGTTACGAGGATGATAGTGGGCCAAAAAAATTCCGGAATTCCTTCCTGGATTTCACGGAAAAGCCAAAAAACCTCGAAAAAATGCAGTTATTGGCCCATATCTCGGCAACCAGACCACTTAGCGACTTGAAACATTTACCAATCGATTCCTGCCATAATTTAGAACAATATTGCCGAAGAAAGTTTTCAAAAATATCCTTTCGTTCGGTCACAAATTTTAAAATTACATAAACACCTACAAACCGATCGTTCTCCTAGCTTGAACGCACCCCAGCATTATACGTCAGAGCTATTTTTAGATAACATAAGGAAATTGCGCATAAATGTCACTAGACTTTTTAATTAACTTGTTTTTAAAAGGCCTGTGTGGAAAAGTTGGACAAGTGGTGAGAGCATGTAGAGAAAAGCAAAGTCAAGCATTGGAAAAAAAGCAGTGATGAAAAAATTAAGTGAAAGTAAAAAAAAAATAAATGAAAAGTTTTTGGATGAACTCTTATAAAGAAAAGAACTTTACAGACAGGCCTACTGCCCGGCCAAGAGTGGAATTGTTTAGCATTTTTACAAAAAATCGTGTCCTGTTCCGCCATCCCGTTTTCGTCGAAGTTTGTTCCTCTTTTTGAAAACAATGATAAAGATAATTAATAAATTGGATTGAAAAAAAGAGCAGTGAAAAGCTATGTCTCCCTTTGGCACACTTATCTGTTTCCTTGTTTACTTACAATATTTACAAGTATCTTCTACTAATAGATAATGTGGTCAACAATCAAGCTTCCGAACATTCCTTTTAGTAATTGCAATTGAATTTTTGATTTAACCCTTTGAGCCGGGCCTCCTTGGCCTTAGTCTATTCTTTATCTATCTTAATCTTTTCTTTCAATACTTAAAAAAATTGGGGGGAAGGGGTTAATTATTTTGCTTATTATGCTCACACCAACCCGTTAAGTTGTGTTTAATGTGGCACATTTCTAAGTTCTACCATTGTGTACTTTTGGCTGCGAACATTAAAACTCTTTAATTAATTAAAAATATCTACTTACCAGTAATGTAAACACGGCATTCTCTTAAAGTTAATGATCTTGCTCTTGTGATTAGAGACTAATTTGATGTTAAAAGCAGTATACACATGAAAATGATTGAGCTTAATAACCCTATACTGTTGATATAGCTTAGTTATTAAAACTCCCCAAGGTATTATTTTATTGTTCAGGGTTAAAATAGCATTTGATCAATGAGTCTATTTTTGTATTCTGAAAAAATTAATACAATTTGTGTATATGTTATTGTCAAAGCCTGAAGTCAGCAGATGTGCACATTGGCTTTGTCAGTAATATAAATATATTTTGATATATTGGTGCTGTTAATGATGACTTATTTATTCCACAGTATGGCTTTCTTGTTGGAGAGAGAGCTGAACATGTTGAAAAGAAAATTAGTGATTCACAGATTTACTCTTCTGACGTCAGCTCATTTATTTGTAAGATTTAAGTTAAACGTTTGCTAGAATTTGTAGACCTTTTACACTGATATTTTTATTTTCCTTTGACTAAATTTGTATACAATTTCAGATGTATCATCATTTATCCCTTGGTTTGGGCAAAATATGCTGTATGATAAGAGTGGGTGTTTTAAAGAACAAGAAATCATAAATCTACTTTCTAAAACAGAACAAGTAAGTTTGTAATTATCTCCTATATTACCACTTGAAGTATTTAAAAAAAAATGTTAACCATATTAGCTCAGGTTAAGTTTGCTAATAATATAATTTATAATGTACTAGCTTACCCATCATGTGTTGTTGCTATTCAAGAAGAAAAGAAAATTATTTCATTTTAGAATTCAAATTGTTATTTTAACTCCTTAACGCCTGAATTATTTTCCAAGCTTGCAAAAAATTATTTCCTAATTTTCTGTTTTTATCATACTGTAAAGTTTAAGGTATCTAGGTGATACAAAGTGTTTAAGTATAGACTATACGGATAAAAAAATTTTTTTTATTTAACACATTTATGGGTGTTTAATAAATTCATATGTTAATAGTTGTTAACCTATTGACAAAAATAATTTTTAGCCGCCAATAGCAGTACTGGTTGCCATGGAAACTACAAAAAGGTGTGAAAACTAACAGCTTTGATTTTTAAAAGCTGATGAAAGATGTAGATTTCTCAAACCAAACTATACATTTCTATGTTTATTAATTGCGATAGCTCGTACTCAATTTTTAATACAAATTTTTACGTACATTTATGTACACAAATTATGGGGTGCTGCTACATAAATATCAATATTTCCTAAAGTATTGAACTAAACTTAATGTACAAAACGTAGTTTTGTAGATGGTATAATGCTTAATGCACGTGGAATGTTTCAATCTTGTATGGCAAAGGGTTCCAAAGCCTTAGCGATTTGAATGTTGAATTTTGAGTAAAAATACAAAGTTGAGAAAATGTGAAAAGAAGGGTGGAAAAAGGCACATTGCATTTCCTTTTATAGAAAACAGAAAAAAAAAAACGTTTTGTTATGTGTGGAAGAACCATTTGACTAATAAAATATGCGTTAATTTATGTTGTAAGTTTTAGACAGACTTTTTTATGTAAGCAGAAAATATGTATACTACAGGTAATAAATTAATGACTATTAAATATTACACATCCTATCCATCGAGTGTTATTCTCAGAACAGCTATCATCAAACCAGATTAAGTTTTGTTTGTTAGCCGGTCTTCTCACCTCAATACAATGTCTATCCTTACTTAAATTGTAGCTTACACAAGTTTATTGCCTTTTATAATAGCCTACTACACAATCCTGGGTACAGCGCTTGAGGCTCAACACGTCCCCATCCCACACCTCCCTATCGTGAATTATTTTGATTTACTGTACTATAATATGATTGGTCAAGTGTATTAATGAATCTCTTCCCATTCATAATTTTTATGAGCATGCCCTTATATGGAGTTTGATATCAAATTTTACTTTGTGGAAAATAACTTCTATCCCACTTTATTTTTAGAACAAAAGAAAAACGAGTGCTTGGCCGATAGATTTCTGTAAAGTTTATGGTGCCCCGCTGGCAATAAATGATGTAATACCCGCTCAAAGATAACTACTTCCGATAACGGAAATTACTCAAAATTCGACAGAAGGCAGAGAATTAGATCTTTTAGTTACATGTAAAATTTCATTTATCTGTCTGAAATAGTACTCAACTTATAGGCTTTTGAAAAATTCAAAGTAGAAAAAGTTCCACTTTCGGTTATCTGCAATTGCTCAAAAGTTGATACAGATCTACGATTTTGATATAATACTTATATATGAGTGCATGGCCAACAGACTACAGAGGCTTTCCCAGTATGGACTGGAGTAAGGCAGGGTTGCCTACTTTCACCATTCCTGCTCCTGCTGGCCATAGACTGGATTATGAAGATGTCAACAGAGAAAATGCGAAACGGTATACAGTGGATAATGTGGAGCCAGCTGGATGACCTGGACTTTGCTGGCGATCTGGCCCTTCTTTCTCACACACAACAGCAAATGCAGGATAAAACCAACAGGGTTGCTAAATTTTCTACATGCCTGGGCCTGAACATCCACAGAGGGAAAGGTAAAGTTCTCAAACAGCAACCCCATAACACTGGCAGAAAAAGCCCTAGAAGAAGTGGATAGATTCACCTACCTTGGAAGTATTGTTGATAAGCAGGGTGGGACAGAAGCAGACATAAAAATAAGGACGGGCAAGGCAAGAGCAGTCTTCAACCAACTAAAAAATGTTTAGGGTTCTGGAGATTTACCCTTGGAATAAAAATCCGGATCTTCAACACACTAGTAAAACCTGTTTTACTCTATGGAGCTGAGACATAGAGAATAACTGCTATAAATAAGAAGAAAATACAATCATTTATAAACTCAGAAAGATCCTGCGGATTCGCTGGCCTAAAACCATCAGAAATGATGTTCTATGGCAATGGACAAATCAACTGCCAGTTGAAGTAGAGATCCTCCAGAGAAAATGGAAATGGATTGGCCACACACTCAGGAAGCCTGTATCCAGCATAACAAGACAGGCCTTCACCTGGAATCCACAGGGCAGGAGGAGGAGAGGCAGAACAAGAAAGTCCTGGAGACGTGACCTGGTAGAAAGACACCAAGAAGATTGGATACACCTGGGGACAGTTGGAGAGACTAGCCCAGGACAGAGACGCCTGGAAAGCTCTTGTCAGCGGCCTATGTCCCAGGAGGGGCAACAGGCTAACCTAACCTCTATATCAGGGGTCTCCAAACTACGGCCCGCGGGCCGGATGCGGCCGGCGAAGTCCTCTCATCCGGCCCGCTGAGATCTTTTTGTTCAAGGAAAAATCGTTTGTTGGTGATGGCTGAGGGACTTTGCCCAGAAAAATCAAAGACATGTCTGGAAGAAACTGGCTCCCGAACTGTAATTTGATAGTTAATCCGGCCCTCGGACTGAAAAATTTGGAGACCCCTGCTCTATATGAAATTTCATCAACCTAGCTGTAACAGTACTCAAGTTATCATGTTTACAGACACACACACAGAGACAGACATACGGACAAGATAGCAAAACTATGTTTTTCCAACTCAGGGAGGTGTAAAACGTCGAGTTGCAAATCTCGATTTTTTTTTTCACGATTTCACGACTTTCTCTATACTTTATATATATACGAGAAAGTAAAAAAGGAGTAGCAACAACATACATTTCTAATTAAGTTGGCCTACCTTCGACTATGGTTTAAGGACCTCTGTACCTACAAGCCAAGTAGTGCCCTGTGTTAAGAATAAAATACTTAAAAAAAACTTTTTAAAAAACCACGTTTTTCTTGTGGACTAAAAAGTAGAAAATAAATTTTCATACATTTGATGACAAAAACGTGGGTACGTTCACCATCAAATTTCCCGACCCATCTGCCCGACCCACGTTTTTTGTCATCAAATGTATGAAAATTTATTTTCTACTTTTTAGTCCACAAGAAAAACGTGGTTTTTTAAAAAGTTTTTTTTAAGTATTTTATTTTCTCCTTTTTAGTCCGTTGCTACACATGAAAAACATGGTTTTTAAAAAGTTTTTTATATAGTTTATTTTCTACTTTTTCTAATCACTTGATTAAGTATGACTTGACTAAGTGTTTTTAAATACACGGACTAAAAAAATCTTGAGCGACCGATACGCTTTAAACAGAGAAAGGGTGTAATTTACGTTGCTGGCGTGGAGATCTACTCACGAATCACGTGATCAAATCTCCCATAAACAAACAAATAAACGCGAAGCTGAGTTAAGGAAAAACGTGTTTATGTGTATTTTAGCATGCCCAGCGTACCAACCGTGTCACCGTTAACAATGTGTTACCGTGTCCGTTCTCCTTTTTAGTCCGTTGCTACACATAAAAAACGTGGTTTTTTAAAAAGTTTTTTTTAAGTATTTTATTTTCTCCTTTTTAGTCCGTTGCTACACATGAAAAACGTGGTTTTTAAAAAAGTGTTTATAAATACACGGACTAAAAATCTTGAGCGACCAGGATTCGAACCTGGGTTGTCGCGGCCACAAAGCGAAGTACTAACCACTATACGATCACGGCCAGCGCGCTCACATCGATTGGGGCCGAAGTAACTGTGTCAATAGGCCTCCAGTCTTGTCGGTATCTTTAGAAATCATGTCCTCAATTTTATGGTCCTTGGGGCGTAATTAAATTAAGCTAATTACGGTCACTAATTGCTAGTTTTTATGATTGCATCTGAAATTGTTAGGCGAAAGTAGCATGCATGCCAAATTTCAGGTCTCTAGAGCAATCAGAAGTGGGCTAATTTTCGGTGTCAATTTTAACAACAAACATCCAAACAACCAAACAAACAAACGCGAAGCTGAGTTAAGCAAAACGTGTTAAAAAGGATTAACACTTCTTGACAGTGGTACAAAGTTTCATCCATTGGTCTTCTGCTGGTATTAATTTTGTATACTTTTTTAATACGAGATCACAAACTACTTGGAGGCTTCCAAGGCATTCTTGAGTCGGGACCTCAGGTCAGTCACATATTTTAAGATATTGTGATTGCTGGGTGTAAATGTCATCCACTGGCCCTTGAACAGCTTCAGTGGGTCTCAAATGGTGTGGCCTTACACCAATTCAAAAGGAGTAAACCCTATTGATTCTTGGGTGGCGTCTTGCAATGCAAACATCACAAGGCAAACCTCCCAATCCTTATCCTGGAAGTGACATGCACTATTTAAAGCTCTTTCATGACTATAATACCTTCATGGTAAAGTGGGAGCCTTGGTCAGTGTGTACTCGATATGGCAAATAAAACATAGTGTAATAATGAACCATAGCATTCATAACTATGCTGACTCAGGTTACTGCTCCATGGTCTGACAGCAGGACACAATTTAGCAGCACACACACACAACCAGGCTTGGTTGCTGCTGCAAAACAACATTGTTTTAGTTTATAGTTTCAGGGCCTGACATGCTGTTGCTCTCCAGGCACTGCAGTGCAATGCCCCTCAATGTACTCTTGGTCTCTGATGTTAGTTGAAATACATTGAATCAGAGAGGCATCATCACTCTCTTGCTTCCTTTCGTGGTTGGTAGACTGTTAACTAAGCAAATGACTGACTGACAGACCTCATCCAAAAGTAAGAACAATCATGCCTAAAAAGAGGA